ATTAGAATGGTCAAAATCCGGAACACTGAAACACAAAATGGTGGTGAGAATGTGGAGCAACAGGAAGTCTCATTCATTGCTGAAGGGATGCAGCAGTTTCTTGCAAAACAAAACATACTCTTGCCACACGATCCAGCAGTTGCACTCCTTGGTATCTAATGAAAAAAGTTTAAAATCTATGTCCACACAAAAAACTGCACATGAATGTTTATAGCAGCTTTACTCATAATTACCAAAATTTGGAAGCAACCAAGCTGTCCTTCAGTAGGTGAAGCTTCCAAAACTGTAGTATATCCAAGCAATGGAAGATTTTTCAGTCCTAAAAGGAAATCAACTATCAAGCCATGAAACACATGGAAGAAACTTAAACACATATTACTAAGTAAAAGAAGCCAATATAAAAAGGCTACATATTGTATGATTCCAACAATATGACATTCTGAAAAAGGCAAGATTACGGAGACAAGAAGAAGATCCAGTGGTTGCCAGGGACTGGGGTGGGAGGAGGGAAGGGGATAAATAGGTGAAGCACAGAGGAACTTTAGGGCAGTAAAAATAATCTAGATGACACCATACTGGTGGATGTATGTCATTATACATTTTTCCAAATCCATTGAATGTACAAGAATGAGCGGTAATGTAAATTATGGACTTTGGGTGTTAATAATGCATTAGCATAGGCCCAACAGTTTTAACAAATGTATCACTCTGGTGGGGGATGTTGATAGTGGGGTAGGTTGTACATGTTTAGGGGTAGGAGATATATGGAAAATCTCTGTGCCTTTCTCTCAATTTTGCTTTGAATCTAAAACTGCTCTAAAAAAGTATTCTTAAAGGCAACCACAGAATGAGAAAAAAATGTTACAAATCAAATATGTGATAAAGGATTAATATCTAGAATATACAAAATTACAACTCAACACCAAAAAACATCAAATAACCAGATTAAAAAATTGGCAAATAACTTGAATAGACATTCCTCCAAAGATGATATACAAATGGCAGACAAGCATATAAAAAGATGTTTAACATCACTAATGATCAGAGACATGCAAATCAAAACCACAGTGAGATACCACCTCACACCCAGTAGGAAGGTCAGTAACAACAGAAGATAAGTATTGGCAAGGATGTGAAAAAAATGGGAACCCTTGTGCACTGTTGGTAGTGTTGTAAAATGGTGCAACAGCCATGGAATGCAAAGTTACCCAAAACTTTAAAAACAGAACTACCATATTTTACTTCTAAGTATGTAACCAAAATATATGAAAGCAAGGACTCAAACCCCCATGTATACCCACGTTCATACAGCATTATTCACAACAGCCAAAAGGTGGTAGCAACCCAAGTGTTCATCAGTGGAAGAAAGGATAAACCAGATGTGGTATATACATAAAATGGATTATTATTCAGCCTTAACACACAGTGAAATTCTGGTACATGCTACAACATGAGTGAACCTTGAAAACATGCTAAGTGAAACAAGCTAATCACAAAAGGGCAATATAGTATGATTCCACTTATTTGAGGTGCAGCTAACAGTCAAATTCACAGACAGGAAGTAGAATGGTGGGTGCCAGGGTCTGGGAGGAAGAAATTAGAAGTTAATGTTTAATGGGTATACAGTTTCAGTTGGGGAAGATGAAAAATTCCTGAAGATGGATGGTGGTGATGGTTGCACAACAATGTGAATGTACTTAATACCACTGAACTATACATTAAAAATGGCTGAAGTCGTAAATTTCATATATATATTTTTACCACAATAAATAAATTTTAAAAATATAAAAGAGAGGCCGGGTATGGTGGCTTATGGCTGTAAATCCAACACTTTGGGAGGCTGAGGAGGGAGGATCACTTGAGCCCAGGAGTTTGAGAACAGCCTGGGCAACATAGGGAGACCCTGTCTTAACAATTTGCATGTCTGTAGTCCCAGCTTACAGGGAGCTGAGGCAGGAGGACTGCTTGAGCCTAGGAGGTGTAGTCTACAGTGAGCCGAGTTCATGCAACTTCATTCCAGCCTGGGTGACAGAGGGGAGCATATCTTAAAAATAAATAAATGAATTTTTTAAAACTATATCTATATATATAGTGAGACAGAGAGAGAGAGAGAGAGAGACATATGAGTATAACATAAATAAAATATTAAATGTGACTTCATTACAAAAATTAAACTGATGAATCAGGTGGTAGAACATACACACTCATTGGAAATATGGAGAGAAATACCAGGAAAAAAAAAAACACCTAGAAGGTTGAAAGTTGTTTCTTCGGAGTGTAAATGGGAGTCGGCTAAGGGATCACTGTTTTTATTAAAAACCTTTAGCAGTATTTGAACTAATAGCTTTAAAATGCCAATGGGCATGTGTAACTTTGATAATGATAACTATAAAAAGGCAAATAATGGAGAAAAGACAGACAAGCACTGGTGAGAATTAGAGAAACTGAAACCCTCATACATTGCTCGTGGAATGTAAAATGGTACAGGTATTCTGGAAAATAGCGTGGCAGTTTTTTAACGTGTTAAACAGATGTGCCATATGACCCTGCAATTCCACTCCTAGTAATATACTCTAGAGAACTGAAAACATATTTCTGACATAAAAACTTGTGTATCAATTTTCACAAAAGCATTATTCATAATGGTCCCAAACTAGAATCAACCCCAAATGTCCATCAGCTAATAAAGAGATAAACAGAATACGGTATATGTATACAATGGATTATTAATCAGCCATGAAAAGGAATGAAGTATTAATACTTGCTACAACAGAGATGAACCTTGAAAACCTTATGCTAAATGAGAGAAGTCAGACAAAAAGTCTGTATACCACATGATTCTATTTATATAAAATGCCTAGAAAAGGTAAGTTTATAGAGACAAAAAGTAGATTCATGGTTGCCAGGAGCTGGTGGGAATAGGGAGTGACAGCTAATGGGTATAATGATTTTTACTGGGAGCTGGGCACGGTGGCTCACACCTGTAACCCCAGCACTTTGGGAGGCCAAGGCAAGTGGATCACCTGAGGTCAGGAGTTCAAGACCAGTCTGGCCAACATGGTGAAACCCTATCTCTACTCGAAATACAAAAATTAGGCAGGTGCAGTGTTATGTGCCTGTAGCCCCAGTTACAGGGGAGGCTGAGGCACAAGAATCGCCTGAACCTGGGAGGTGGAGGTTGCAGTAAGCTGAGATCGTGCCACTGTACTCTTGCCTGAGCAACAGAGCAAAAGACTGTCTCAAAAAAACAATTTTATTGTGATGATAGAAATGTTTTAATATTTGAACCTGCTTGTGTTAGTCTGCTTAGGCTGCCAGAACAACAGAGATTTGTTTCTCAGTTCTGGAAGCTGGAAAATGTGAGTTCAGGGTATCCGCATGGTCAGGTTCTGGTGGGGGTCCTTTTCCTAGCTTGCTGATGACCACCTTCTCACTGTGTCCTCACATAGTAGGGAGGGGGAGAGCAGACCCTGGTGGCTCTTCTTATACAGAAACTAATTTCATCACAAGGGCCCCACTCTCATGACCCCATTTAAACTTAATTACCTCCCAAAAGCCCTATCTCTAAATACCACTAGGGCTTAGGGTTGAAACAAACAAATATGGGGGAGAAACAATTCAGTGCATAGCAGTGGTGATGTAAATACACTAGAAATTATTAAATTGTAAAATTAAAATAGGTCAATTTAATGTACATAAATCAAACCTTAATCAAGCTGTTTTTTAAAAAGCAAATAAGTCTATCTAGAAGAAAACTTGCAGACTATGTACTAGGTCCATTAAATAAGTTATTGTTATTATAACAGTCTTGAAAAGCTGACATTATTATCCCTCTTTTACAGACAAGAAACTGAAGCTGAAAGAAGTTAAGCAACTTGCACAATTAGCAAACAAAGCAGAGTTAAAATCTTTGAGTATGTGCCCTAACTACAGAGTTCTGCACTTTCTCCCATTTGTGATTGCCTAAGCCCTGAAAAGCACTATGGATAGATCACGAGAGCTCTGAGTTGAGGCTCCTTTCACCCTCAGTTCAGACAATCCAACCACCATTTACGTGCAGACAGCTGTTCAACTCCATGGGGAACCTACAAGTAGCTCAAGACCTCCCTGGAGGCTGGCATGGAATGTGAAGACTGCATGTAAGCAACCGTGAAAATATGAGCTGGCCAATCTGCCACAGGAGGTCAGAAGTTAACAGATGATCCTATTTGAAAATAAACTTTGCCCCTCTCCACAGCTCTTTCTGGGAAAGTCTGGAGGGTGGGCTTCGGAGCCAGAGTCTGGGTACCAGTTGCATTTCCACCACTCAGAGGCTGAGGGACCTCTCCTCCAAAGTGGAGATGAGAAGAGAATCTCTTCTAGAGGGCTGTAGAGTGCTTACAGCAATACGAGGGCTCAATAAGTGCTTGCTATCAGTGTTACTCTGCCAGTGTATTTAAACTCTCCATCTAGCTGCACAGAGCCTGCCTTTTCTTGGCTTTGCTACAAAACTGCCTTTGGCCAGTATGGTCTCTCATCTTAAGCAATGCCCTCCAAAGCTTACCACACATCTGCACTGACCCACACGAAATCAAAGTCTATAGAAGTTGTAGCAGTCGTCTGGTCTAGACCGTCATGATACAGACGGGGACAATGAGACTCTGCACAGTGGAGGGGCTGTGCACAAGCTGGTCCACCTCCCCAGGCCTATCTAACGTGATTACTGCATACTCTGTCCAGTGTCCCAACTTATCCCAAAAGATCTCCTGTCCATTTGGTTAAAGAAATAGGTGAGAAAAGCCACAGTGATTTTAAAGACTGTCAAATGCTATTACAAGTCGCTCCACTTGAAAGATGGCAATGAAAGCATTCTTACTAATCCTCCTTCTCCCTAAACCTCATCACTGGAAGAAAAGCCAGTTCTTTGAAAGTTGCGAACCAAACACAGCAGTTTTTCGGACAATTGTTAAGAGGTAGGCCAGTTCCCAGGGAATAGCTATAGCGTATTTTTCTGTTGTTACCTTGGTAACCGCTACCTTGGCGCCCTTGTTGATGAGCTGAACCACATTCTCTGTTTGGCCTTTGTAAGCAGCTATGAGAAGGCGTTCTGAAAGCGCAGCGACCGCATCTTGCTGGCTCATGAATTAGGAAAGAAAGGTTTTCAGGGAGGCGGTAAACAAGTTCCTTCAGCTCAACACGAAGTCACTGGCCAGGACTGGCACCCACGGGTAAAGATGTTCACAATCATCAGAAGATGTCTTTATGAACATGCCATCTTCAGGACCTAGGGGTTACAAAACAAAGCTGCCATCAGGGCCACTTGACACACAAGGACAGGTCACACCTCTTCTTTATGTTTTTAAGGCATTATGCTGCTTGCTTGTTGCAGGAGGGGAGCAGTGGGAGGCAAGACACACAGGAAGCTCACTCAACAGCAAAGCCCCGAACAGAACTTCCAGAAGGCAGCAGAATATGCCAACCTCCCTCCCTTCCTTCTTCCCCCATTAGGGACATCCTCCGGAAGAGTACGGCCAGAACTGCAAGGTTTGCTCTGTTTCTCTCCCAGGGAGCGGAGGCCTGGTATAATCCCCTAAGCACCACCTGGTTTACACACTGCCTTTGGCAGGGAACTGTACTGTATGTAATCACCACAGGCCCCCTGGCTGGGTTTTGTGGGTCCACTATGGCTAACGCGCTGCTTCCCCAGTGGGTCAGCGGCTTATGGAACACACCCCACAGAGACCCTGCTGAGTGTGTTCTCTCTTTGGGGTTTTCTCCCAGCATTTACTGCAGTTGTCCCCCTTCATCCTTTTCTCACTGTAAATAGTGTAGTTCTCTAGTTCTGGAACAGATGGAGAGCTGGGCACAGGCCCGGGCCAATTCCTGGTTCCAAGTGGCTGAAACAATCCACCTTGGAGACAACACAGATGCTAAACACTGATAGTGGCCCTGCCAATGCAGGGCTGGTCATGTTGCTTCCTTGCTAACAGGAGGAAAAGAAATGGCCACCAAAACCACCAAAAACAGTAAAGCCCTGTCACAGAGCAGTGGTCTAGAGGGTAGTAACTACTAGTAAACTGAATTCTTCCTACCACATGGCGAAATGAATAGAATTTTAAAGACTGGGACTCCCCCCAGTATACCTGGGCCACCATTAAACCCAACCAAAGCCATTGGTAATTATTTCAAGGGTGAAGGGTTCTTTGGGCTGAAGAAGGAATACTTAAATGTCTAATCCATTCCTGCTAGAACAGCAAGGAAGTGAGGGCTTCTTTGTATTTTAAGACACTTATTAAAAATACTAGTATATACAAATGGAAAGAAAACGCTACAACAGAGATGCCACTCTTCAACCCAAACCCTACCACACATCCTAATTTTGAAGGTCTGGAAGAAGCAGCCATCCTTACATCTGTTCCCAGGCACAACCAAGTGTCCTTTCAGTCTCTAAAAATTAAGGAATTGGCCATGATATGGCTGGAAAGCCCTGTTCCATATCCCATTCTAACTTGTTCACCATGGCATTCAGGCAGGTTGTTTGGCCAACCACTCTGGGAGGTTGGGGTTAAATGCCCACGTGTAAAACAGAATGACATTTATCTCCCAGGACTGTGGTGAGCATTAAAGAGGGTATTTTGTTATGTGAAAATGTGGGCCAGATGTAAATAATGTAACCTCGGAAAGATAATTCTTACCCCGTACTCTTGTGAATTATCAAACTTTCTCATCATTCTCCATCTGTTGCTCAAAATGCAGGGAAAGAATAGCAGGGAAATAGAGAGGAACCCTCACAAACCCATACTGCTCCTGCTCACTGGGTCATTAGAAGCACAACAAATCTGGAGAAGGGTCTGCTCTAAAGCAGCTTGGTGAGTCACGGTCAGAGAACCCAGGGATATGCCAGAAGTAGAATGAGCCAAAAAAAAAAAAAAAAAAAGGAATAAAGTTGAGACTCAAAACACGGAAAGAAATGGAATTAGAAATGCCTTTGAAAATTCTCATGGTCGCACTGAATGCCTACAGTCTGGGCTTTGTGTTTCCCAGGCCATTACAATATTTGGAAGTGGTTTGTTTTTATAAACATAGGTGCGCTGCCTCTTTTCATTTGGTAACCTGAGGTACGTTCAAACCAATTATACTGAGCTTCTGCTCTGCTTGCCCAAATATTGCAAAATCACTCCGGCCCCAAATGGCAGGAAAATACAGAGGATTAGCCAGGACTTCCGAAATGATCTCCCTCCCACAACCACACCCTCCCCCTCATCTACCCATTTGTTATCTCTAGACAGTAGACCCAACAGCCCCCTTCTATTCTAGCACCTTTCTTGCAGTGGGCATTTGAATGTCTACAGTACAACAATCCAGTTCATACAAATATTATCATGGCTACAATTCTACTCATTCTGCTCCACGGCTTAGCCCCTGAGGGTAGAGGTTTCTTTGCTGCAACCTCAGTACAGCCCATCAGTTGAGGTCACAAGCTCCACACCAGCAGTGCTGTGCAGCCTTCTCAGCAATGGATAAAGGGGTCCAGCCAGCCCATGGTAAATTGATAGCCACTCCCCTCCCACCCTGCAGTCCCGTGCAATGAATTCAGCCTCCTGGATACTGGCACTGAAGCACACTTAGGCCATAGCTGCAGGCTATTGAGATAATTACCACTGGTAAACAGCCCTTTGGAAGTACAGCCCACAATTATTTTCCTTTTTGTTTGGTTAAAGATAGAAAAATACTACAATGGTGAGAGAACATTGGTCAAGCAGAAACATTCTTCTATTTTTTGCTTTTCAGTTATAGCTACTTAAGAATGTGCCTCACTGTCATCCCATTCGCTCCATCACAGATGGCCAAAGCACCCACAGCAGCCTCCAGAACGGGTCCCTCACACAGGATTTTGGATACTCCCCCTACCAGAGTCATATAGAAAACTGCCTGCAAGATCAAGAACAGAGCCCCAGCTTTCCAATTCCTAGTCTGTTGCCAATACCATCCCTATGCCCTTGGACAGCTCAAGCTCATTTTCAATTTAAGCCCAGTAATTGCCTCCTTACTAGGACCTCCAGCCTTTACCTGCAGGTGCATTTACACACAGTGTGGGTGGGAAGGTATCAAACAAGGGTCTTCTTTTCTACTTCCTTTCTGCTTCTTCCTGCATCTTCAGCCATGGGTGTGGGTGCAAGCCCAGCAGAGACACCACCTTTCTCCCTGTCTCCTGGTCACTGTTCCTAAATCCCAAATCCTTACCTCCCATCTAGAATAATGATCCCCATCTCTTAAGAGTGAGAAGACACTCTGCTTTTCATCTGACGCTCTGACCTGACAAATCAGACCAGACAGAGGTGTGGTGTTTCAGGGGGGCAGTTTAAGAAGGGATGGGGGAATCCCCTGACAATAAATTGGGAGGGCGATGGGAACAGAGGGGTGAAACCAGTCTGCAATCAATGAGTTAAACTACACTGCCAACCTGTTGGCTACCTCGGCTGTAGCAGTTCATCCCCTCCTTACATCTGAGCCTCCTTTCCAACTAGATCAGCTATCATTCAAGATACTACCCATTGCTGGCAGTGAGAAATTTACTCTGCCCCAAGCCTATCAATTACATCCCTTTTTGTCACAATGCTCATTTTTCACAGCATTCTAGAGGAAAACCTTAAACGCAAACATGCTGCCCATTCTTTAGGCAAAAAAGGAAATAAATACCTGAGCATAAGTATGCAATGCACATCCTGAATCTAGGTACAGGAATTTAGCTTCTTAAGATTTCCCTCCTTTCTCCCAGCCCACTGCCCCATTTTTGTTGCTCTCTAATTTGCCAATTCTTTTGTCTCTCATTACAAATACCAGAGGGTCACACAGCTCCTTGGTCTGTGATGCAATCGGTTTTCTTTCTACAGAAAAAGGTCTATGAGGCTTGCATTTGCTGTTTTCTTGGGGCTTTACAACAAATTCTCCTATACTTTGGAGAATTTGTCAATATCCTAAAGCCACTACATTTTGTCTCCCAAAAGACAAAATATTCTAGAAGAGACCTGCAAATAAAAGTCCCAACCCAGCATTAGGTTCAACCCACCCAGAGATGGCCCACAGGCATCCAGGAACCAGTGGCTATGGAGCGCCATCAGCTATAACAACTAGCTTTGTTCCTACTGCTCCAAACCTTGTGTTGAAGAGATGGTACTCACATCCGAGGGGCTGTCCTCTCTGTTCTACATCGTGTTCAGTTTCTGGATAACTGTGGTCAATTCTTTCCTGGAGAGATCATTCGCTTCCTAAGGCTGTCATTCCCAGCAAATCTGCAGTGATTTACGTTACAATATTCGCTGCCTTTTCCCTTTAGCCTCCTCTGCCGATGCTGGCCAAATCACATCTAAAAGCTTATTAAGACATCCATTCAGCTTGCAATGTTTTGTGGCTTGCTAGTCTGCTCGTCACAGCTTCCGAAAGTCTTGTGTCTGCAGATTTTGATGGACTGCTCCCTCCTGCCAGCAGAGGACCTGTAACACTGCCCCGATTGAAGTCAGGAAACAATTCACAGATCAGAGGAACATTTCTGACTGATGCTCAGATGACAGAGAAACGAAGTTTGTATTCTTTCAGCAGTAATACAAGAAAAGATGAATGTGAGTGTTGTAAGGGAGGGAGGAATGCAGAAAGGGTTGAAATCTGTAACAAACTGCCTCCAAGATAACAAAAAAATGCTTGCTTTGTGGAAGCAGCAGAGCCCAGACACTCCACCCTCCTCGGCGGAGAGTTCCAGCACAATGACTGCGGCAGCACAGGAGACAAGGGTCTGGCTGAGCAGCTGTTCCTGACGTTTGTCTCACAAATGCTCCTCTGAACAGTCTCTGCAGGGAAGGGGGAAGGGAGTAAACAGGGAGCAGAGCCCCTCCAGAAGCTGTTCTGAGTGCTGTCGACTGCCCTAAACTGCAAGCGTGTGCTCCAGCCCACTTGTTGAGGCAACAGAAATCCAGCTCACACCTGGAGAGATCATAGAAATGAGAGGGTTTTCATTTTGACTTGAGTCAATATCCCCACATTTTCCTCTTTGTTTCTAAAGATAGAATTGTTGGTCCAGAGATGGAAAAATAACTCTACTCTGTCCGCACAAACGCTCTAACCACCTGCCGTCCTAAAGCCTTGCCCTATTTCCCCGAGGGTAATAGGGGCAATGGAATGGACTGCAATCCTGCTTTGGTCATCATTTGGCTTACACCAAGGGCAGGAGAATAGCTGGAGGCTCTGGCGGGTGCATTGCAAAGAGGCTGAATCCCACTGGTGAAACAAATTGCCAGCAGAATAACACAAGCTTCCAAAAAAAAAAAATACCCACAACACTCTTACTAGTTTATCCAAGAGCAATCACTACTGGGTTACTGTGACCTCTACTGGGGGACAAATGAGGCTGCAACAGAGAGGAATGTTACTCAATCCCTACTTTAAAGAAACTCATCATCCGGCCACTAAAAAGCCATGACCAGGGCCCAAAAGTCCAGTTGCCAGAAGATAAGTGTAAACTGAGTGGGACAGAATACAGCAAGGAGTGGTTCATTTTTCTCACAGCTTCCAGGACACTTCCTCCTTCTGAGAAGATCTAATGCCACAGGTAGGGCCCTTAAAGCAGTACTACCCATGAGGACAGCCAGCACTGACTGCTCACAGAACTTGGTGCCCACCAGGATCATCTGCAAAAGAAGGGAAATGATAGCGTGCACATGCTCCGCTTTAGCAAGCCCTTGACTCATTACATACATCCCACTGTCGCAAAGGAACAAGTATGTTTATTTCTTGAGCCATTTAAAGTACAATAACTCTCTTCTTTTAACTGTGACAGTCACTGAATTTTTGAAATAACCACCTCTACAGGAGGCATAGAGACTGTTGCAGGGAAAGCTGAGTGACATCTGAATATTATTCAGGAAGCCTGTGACATGCCCTACCAAGAAAAGCTGATTACAGATGTAAACGTCATATAGGAGGAATAAGCACATATCGCTGAATAAATATGTGACTGCAGAAGGCTTGAGATGTAGAGACCTCCCCTTTTTATGTAGGACAATAACTTACGACTGACCAGCACTGCTAGACCACATAAGCTCTGCTACAAACTGAATTGCGTCCTCCCCTCCGGGCGCCTATTCATATGTTGAAGCCCTAACCCCCCAGTATGACTATATTTGGAAATAGGAGATAACTAAGGTGAATTTGGTCATAAAGGTGGGTCCCTGATCTGATAGAATTAGTGCATTCATGCTTGCTGAGTGTGCACACTCAGAAGAACAGCTATGTGAGGACAAAACGGCCATCTGCAAGCTAAGTAAACAGCCCTCACCAGAAACTGAACCCTGCTGGACTTTGATCTGGGATTTCTATCCACCAGAACTGGGAGAAAATAAATTTCTATTGTTTAAGCCACCCAGTGTGTGGTATTTTCTTATGGTAGCTCAAGCAGACTAAGACACAGCATAACTGCTGTTACTGGCTCAAGGTTGGTCTCCCTGGTTATATGAACTCCTTGTGGCAGGAACCCCGTTTTGGTCATCTTGTATCCCCAGAGCCTACCATGGAGCCAGGAACACAGTTGTCCTTTAATGTCCTTTCAACAAATGACAGAAAAAACAATAACCAATTTATTTTTAGTCATCAGTTGGTCTTCAGGAGCCTGTGGTCCCATAAGAAATATATGAGGTACTTAGCTGGTTGCCCCAGCTCTAACACTTACTTTGGGCAAATTTCTTTTTCCTTTCCAAATAGATGAGGGAGGCTATGGCTCCAGGCCATCCAAGAGATAACAGAGAAGGGATGTGGTCATTGTCCTCTCCCCCTTCCTCCTCAAAACAGAGGACTACAGTTTCTGGGGCCGGAAGATTTACCACTCCAGACGTAGCCCTTATTCAGTGAGACAGGTCTGTCAGTACCAAAGCACTGGACAGCACCACAGCCTCTCTAGGAATTTTCTTCTCAACACCTTCAACCCCTGTTAGGTAAAGACCCAAATGCTAAAGACAAATCAAAATAATCAACACAGCATCACAATAAAAGCAATTATAGGTACTCATATCTCAATTTCCACCCACTCCTTAAATCTGCTCTGATCTGGCTTTTCTGTCCACAGTTTTTCCACTGAAACCTTTTTTGTTATTTATTTTGTGGTGTACCATGCATTTACTGAAGAGATGGACACAAGGAACTGTGGAAACTGGGAGAGGGATCATTCTTGTTTGCTGTGCTGGGGTGAAGGGAGGTCAGGAAGGTTTTCACAGAGAAGGTAGTGTGTTAGAGGAGGTAGGACTTGGTGAGGTTAGAAGGGGGAAAGACACAGGCAGAGGAAACAGCAAGAGCAAAAATGCAGAATGGTCTGAAAATGTGTGTCATGAGTAGGAAAGAAAGGCAAAGAGACAACTGCAGCTGGAGCTTGTAACACACAGCAATGACCAGCGATGGTGCTGGAAAATGAGGTGGCAGTCAGGCAGCAAAAAATGTTCACATCATGCCAAAGAACTTGAACTGTATCTTGTAGTTGTGATGGGGAGCCCTAGGAGTCGATAAGCAGAAGAGTGGCTAGTCATATTTTTGCTTACTTGTAACACAAGCATACAGAATTAATTATAATTATGGTTTTATGCTACACTCTCAAGATTGTATATGCATGGCTTTCTCTTTCTTCCGCCCTTTTTCCTTCTTCATTTATTTCTATTCTGTCCTTTCCTCTTTCCTTTTTTTAAATCTTCATTGATAGACTTTTTTTTTTTTTTAAGACAGAGTCTTACTTTGTCACCCAGGCTACTGGAGTGCAATGGCATGGCTTGCTGCAAGCTCTGCCTCCCGGGTTCAAGCGATTCTCCTGCCTCAGCCTCCCAAGTAGCTGAGACTACAGGCACATGCCACCACACCTGGCTAATTTTTGTATTTTTAGTAGAGACAGGGTTACACTATGTTGGCCAAGCTAGTATTGAACCTTGTGATCTGCCCGCCTCGGCCTCCCAAAGTGCTGAGATTACAGGCGTAAGCCACTGTGCTTGGCCAAAGAGACTATTTTTTAGAACGATTTTAAGTTTACAGAAAAATTGGGCAGAAAGTTCAGAGTTCCCAAGTAGCCTTTTTCCCACCTCCACCCCTACAGTTTTCCCTTTCAGTAACATTCTTATATTACTGTGATACATCTGTTACAATTGATGAATCAATATTGATACAGTATTATTAACTAGAGTCTATAGTTTGTATTAGGGTTCACTCTGTGTTGTACAGTTCCATGGGTTTTGACAAATGCATAATATCATGCATCTACCATTAAAGTACCACACAGAGTAGTTTCACTGCCCTAAAACTCCCCTGTGCTCTGCCCATTCATCCCTCTCTTGCCCCAAAGCTCCTGGCAATCACTGATCTTTTCACTCTTTCCACAGTTTTGCTTTTTCTGTAATTCCATATGGCTGGAATCATACAGTGTGTAGCTTTTTCAGACAGGCTTATTTCCCCTAGTAATATGCATTTAAGCTTCCTCTGTGCCTTTTCATGGCTTATGTCCTTCTGGTACTGAATAATATTCCATTGTATACCATAATATTCCATTGTACCACAATGTACTTTTCCATTCATCTGTTGAAGGACATTTTGGTTGCTTCCAAGTTTCAGCAATTACAAACAAAATTGCTGTAAACATTCATGTGCGAGTTTGTGTGGACATATGTTCCATCTCATTTGCATAAATACCAAGGAGTACAATTGCTGGGTAATATGGCAGCACAGTGTTCAGCTCTGTGAGAAATGTCTATACTGTCTTCTAACACAGCAGTCTTCAACCTTTTTGGCACCAAGGACCGGTTTCATGAAAGACAGTTTTTCCATAAATCTGGCAGTGGAGAGGATGGTTTTGGGATGATCCAAGCACATTACATTTATGGTGCACTTTATTTCTATTATTACATCGCAATACATGATGACATAATTATACAACTCACCATAATGTAGAATAAGTGGGATCCCTGAGCTTGTTTTCCTGCAACTAGATGGTCCCATCTGGGGGTGGAAGGAGACAGTGACAGATCATCAGGCATTAGATTCTCATAAGGAGTGTATAACCTAGATCCCTTGCATGCGCAGTTCACAATAGGGTTCACACATCTATGAGAATCTAACGTTGCCACTGATCTGACAGGAGGCAGAGCTCAGGCAGTAATGCAAATGATGGGGAGCAGCTGTAAATACAGATGAAGCTTCACCTGCTTGCCTGCTGCTCACCTCCTGCTATGCAGCATGGTTCCTAACAGACCACGGGGTCCATAGTCCAGGAGTTAGGGACTCCTATTCTAACATGTCTGCAACATGTTACACTCCCACCGGCTGGTTTTCCATTGACCTAATTGCCAAATGCAACAGTAACTTTTTGACACTTCCTTTACCTGATTTCTCTGTTGCATTGGGCCCTATTACCATCCCTCTCTCAAAATTCCTCCTTCTTGGTTCCTGTAAGCCATTCTCTCCACGTTCTCCTAACCATCCCTTGCACGATTCCTTTCTTCCACTGAATGCTTCTTTCACTGATACCTTAAATGTTGCAGGTCCTTGAGGTATTCGGGCATCTTCTCTGCTCATTTTCTTCTCTAGATCTCAGTGCTCCCCCTCCCTGCTGCTCACGCACTCCTCTGCTGCCTAGATACAGATTCCTCCAAGTCTACTTCTTTACCCTGGATCACGTTCTCTGAAGCTCTATATTTAAACACCCAACCACCTACCAGACCTCTTCCTTGAATGTCCCCTATCAACGTGTTCACAACCAAATCACCATCCTTCCTCCCAAAGCTGTTCCCTTTCCTGTGTCCTCACCTTGGTGAGGGGCTCCATCTTTCATCTAGCTACCTATTTCCCTAATTTGGAACATTCCTCTCATTTATTTCCTTCCCCTTCCCCCTACCCCGCATTCACTAAACCACCAAATCATCCTGATTTGAGACTGTAAGGCATAGAAACTAAAAATACAAGCTTTGAAGTCAGACTGCCTGGGCTTAAATCCCAGCTCTGCCACTTACTTTGGGCAAATTTCTTAATGACTCTGAGTCTGTTTCTTCATGTGTAAAATAGAAAGGGTAACAGTTCCTACCTCATTGGGTTGTTGCAAAGATTGAATGAGATAATGCACATTTTATTCAATGCCCGGCACATAGAAAGTGCTTGGTTAACATAAGTGTGGTTATATGGTTACCGTTTAGATGTTCCTTTATTTGTTCCATCTTCTCTAGCTGTACTGCCACTGCCTTAAGTTGTCATCATTTCTTACCTGGGTTATTGCAATAGTCTCTAACTGAATGTTGGAAATGTTTCTTGAAATTCTGTTTGTGATTACCTAAACTTAGAAATTGGGATGAGAGGTAAAGCAGGTTTCAGTTTATATATGGAAATCTGCTTCTGCAGATGGGTTTTCACTTAGGGAAAAATAGAAGCCAAAGCCAGACTAATATTCAGGATTTAGAGAGTGAGTGTGCTTTGTCTCAAAATAGATCCTCAATAACTTTATACAAGTCAACACAACCTGGCCAGCTAGTTCTTAGGATTAAACTTGACTCCCAGGAAAAACAGAACTATTGAGGCCATGGTGGTTAAATTCTCTGTGCTCTGTCTGGATCTTAGAGAGCAATGAGCCAACAAGAGGCAAGTTTCTGCTTTCTGATGTGTCAGTGTTAGAAGAAAGTAATAATGAGAACCTAGCCCTTCCCCTTCAGTTTGTTTCAAGATGGCAAAGGTGGAGAACAGAGAGCTGTGCTGCAGTGCAGTAAGAGCCACTGCCACTGTGCCCACCTGCCAGGGGGCAGATTGCTGGCAGTGGTTGGTAGATCTATGGTGCCTTTATCTATGGACTTCTCTTCCTCTGTGCCTCTTGTCAAAGAGTGTTTTATGTGAACAGACCATGCTAGTGGGACTGCTAATTATGGGCTGAATTTGCATGCAGAAGCCATTCTGCCACGTTAGTCTCCCTGCCTCAAGTCTTTCCCTCGCCCTTCCCTACCCTGATTTATGTGATCCCTGATGTTTCAGTGCTCTTTTCACAACACAAATGTGATTGTGTTTCTCCTCTGCTTGTAACCCTCAGTGACACACATTCTCCCAGAACAAAGTCCAGCGATATACAATTTTTCCATGCAGCCTCTGTTTCCAACCACCTTTCTTGCTGGTACCCTGCCCCCTGCCATACCCATCCTGAATCCCAGCTTGGCCAAAAGGTCCTTAAAGCACCTTGAAAGCCCCACCCTGTCATTTGTGCTTAGAATTCTCTTTAGAACTTATCTAAACTCCTTCTTAGCTTTCAAAGATACCTGATTCAAAGGTGTCTTCCTCTTAAAGATTCTCCTAATACTATTCCAACCTTCAGGATCCCAGGGGTGAAATCGCCCTGCCCTCAGCTCAAATCCCAGGTCTGCTACTTATTTGGGGCAAGTTTCTTAATGACTATAAGCCCACTTCCTTACGTATAAAATGGAAATAACTACAGTTTTTGCCCACTGGGTTGTTGCAAAAATTGAATGAGGCCAGCACAAAATAATGTATTTTTAAAATCTCGCTGTAATACTTATTAAACTGGATTGCAATTGTGTGATGTCAGTACCATTGGCCTCTCTTCTTACATTCCGAATAAAAAGGCTTCCCCATGTGTCTCTTCTTTCACAGAGACTGTCCTAACCAGAAAAGGTCCTGGGCTTTAGGACGTAGACTTAGAGGACAAGCGGGAGAGATGAGAGGAAGGTTGACTTGTCAAGGGAGGCAAAGTACATCTATATAACAAAACACTGAGGCAGGGGAGGGGAGAGAGAAGAGTGAGGAAGGAAAGAGAGGAAAGGATAAGGAGAGAAGGGGGAGGGAAGAGAGGATAGAGAGAGAGGAGGGAGAGAGGGAGAAATGAATGTGTCATGCAGAATGGGGGAATGTGAGCGAATTAGAAGGGAAAACCAGGAAATGGAATTGTACTATGGGGTTATATATTGGGTTTCCTTTACTTTTGAGAACAAGAAATGACTAAAATGTTTTTAAAAGTTAATTTTGGTCTTTGGATTGTGCTTCTCTGAATATCTTCTTACAAACACTGGACCATGAGAGACTGAAATTCTCTCAGGTTACTCTTGTGTACAATGTCTTTCCTCTCAGACTCAGCTTCTCCAGCACAGGAGCTGTCATCTCATTCCACTATGTAAGTTCAGTGCAGCCACACAGCCTGTCTCATGCACAATACATGGCATAGGAACAATATGTGTGTATTGAATAAACAGACACATTTATATTTACCCAATTGCATTAGACTCTTAGAGAGCAGGTGCCTTCTCTTATTTTTCCACGTTTCCAGATAAACTAATGGAATTCTATAGTGAACTGAATGGTGGCTCCCCAAAGATATGTCCATGTCTTAGTCTCCAGGATCTATATTAATTTATATGACAAAAAAAGAGAGATGTGATTAAGTTAATCTACGGATGTCCTGGATTATCTGGGTAGGTAGTCACATGTGTCTTTTATAAGAGAGGCAGAGTTTTGAGACAGAAGAAAATGAGGCCATGTGACCCCAGAGGCAGAGATTGGAGTGATATGGCCAGAAGCCAAGGAACCCTGGAGCTACCAGAGGATGGAGGATGGAGGAAGAGTCTCTTCCAGAGGCTGTGCAGCCTCACCAGCAGCTTGATTTCAGACTCTGCCCTCCAGGACTGTGAAAGTATAAGTGTCT